TGAGAACACTATGCTAAGTGAAATAAGTCAGACAGAAAAAGCTAAGACCCATATGATTTCATTCATATGTGGGATATAAAACTGAAACTTATGAACAGAAACAGCAGAGTGGTAGCTGCCAGAGGGAAGGGGGTGGGAGAGAAGGGGGTTTTAATACGAGGTGACAAGAGAAAATTTGACTTTGGGTGGTGGGTACATAGTACAATACACAGATCTTGTAACAGAAACTCACACATGAAACCTGTATGTTCATGTTGACCAAAGTCACCTCAATCAATTTAATAAATAAAATTTAAAAGAAAAGTTATTTCTTGAGCAAGCCAATTGGAAGATCCAAGTGTGGAGTGTCTAAATCCATGATTCAGATGAGGTTGATGGACAAGGTCCAGGTATATCCACAGCTTTGGATGGAAGGGGATGAAAGAAAAAGCCACAGGATCAGGATCAGGGTCAAGAACCAGGGTGGAAAAAAAAAAAAAAAAAAAAGAACCAGGTGGGTTTGAAGAGTTAACATAGCAAGCTTGACTGCTATCATTTACCAGGCCTGCTTACAAGTTCGGCCCTTGGTTGACATCTGGAAACCTGGATTTCAGTTTTTCCACCATTTCCAGAACTTATAAGAGTGGCTCACTGTGCCTAAACAGCACATCCTGTGTGACTCCTTTCAAAATTCCCTCTGAAAGTTTGAGCCTGGTTTCTCCCAGACTTTGCCAATTCATCTTTTCAATTTGCTAAATTTGCTTTGTATATTTTTGCTGTAAGAAATCATAACCATGAGTATGGTTACTTGGGGATTCCCAAGACAGATGTGTAAACCACACAAAAGCTGAAGTCATTTGGAAGAATAGAAGCATAGAGTAAGAGGCAAGCAGTTATCAGGTTTTTCAAGATGATGGGCAGTAATTAGGTCATTAAATGATCAAATCAGGAGAGTGAGAGGGCTATATGAGCCTCAACAGAGTAACAGAGGTTTTATCAGGAGAGGGAAGAGAGCAAAGACACCAAGCCCACATCCTGAACATAGGTTTGTAGGGCAAGAAATACTCCAATGCCATCACTGGGGAAAGCTGGTGATGGGAATATTTCCACCATTTCCTGGACTTATAAGAGTGGCTCACTGTGCCTAAATGTGGAACTGTTCTTAGAGGTCAAAGGCTAAGAACATAGAGGATTAACCCTGAATCTGCTCTAATATACACATCTGTCTACATTGACAGTACATCAGGGTTTTCTGGTACCTTATGGTAACGAATTACTTGCTGAGCACACTGGTATCACAGAGTGGTATCACAGCTGGGCATTACTATCTTTCACCATATTCTAAGTCTTCAAGAAGTGTAAACCAATGTTCCTCTCACCCACTTTAGCTTTGGCTTCTTTTGCAGAGGGAAAGACACTGCCAACATTATTTTAATAGCCAAATATAGACATTATCCAAATGTGGCATCATCAGAATGGATAAATTGTAGTCTACTGACACAATGGAATATTACACTGCAATGAAAACAAATACTTCACAACCAAATGCAACAATATGTTCAACTCATAAACACAATGTTGAGCAAAGAAGCTAAGCATACATAAAGTATATATTATATAATTCCGTTTATATAAAGAATAAAAAACAAGCAAAAGCAATTCATCCTGTTAGAAGTCAGGACAGTAGTAATTCTTGAGGATGCAAGGGGCTACTGAAAGGCAGCTGTGTGTGTGTGTGTGGGCTAATAGGGGTACTGTTAATATTCGGATTCCTAATCTGGGTGCTTGTTACATAGGTAATCATGATTATTATGCTCATGATTTCAGTGTGCATATACTTTAAAACAAAAGGGATACTCAATATATGTGAAAAAAAGCAAGTACATATTTTACAACAGTACATTTACCATGAATCCATTTTTGTTGAAAAGTACATGGCTGTACAGAACAATGCCAGGCAGAATATATACTCAAATAGTGTTAACAATGGTTAGCTCTTGGTAGTGGAATTGTAGATGATTTTTTCTTTTCTTTTACCTATTTTTAAAAACCGTCCTCAGTACTTCCCATATTCTTTTTACAATGTATTAATTTACAAAAACAAAACAAAACTATAACTACTTGCATTTTATAAGCTGCAACATATAAGACTTTGGGACAAAGAAATGCTATTAAACACTGGGGAATGGAGCAAGGGATAACCATCACTCAACCAACTCATAAAAAAATTTATAGAACAATTTCAGCACAAGCAAAATCCTGAATTGCAATGGTGGGATTTGCATTCTCATCAATCCTGTGTGAGACTAATACCCAAGGATTACCAGAATTAGGTGAGTACCAGGATTATAGAGGCACACAGACATCTGTTCCTGTCCTCTGTAATGGGATGACTATAAACCATTTACAATCAGTACAATCTTGTCTGGGCCTAGGCTTCTCACACCCCCTCAAGATTAGCATTCTTTGCTCTCTTCCCCTTCCACTCCCAGACTGCTCTTCAAGTCTGGAGGCAAAGGCAAGGCTTTCTGGGCCATGAGCTCTTTTGCTGGCTGCTCTCAGTTTTTTCTGTGCACCTAAAGTATGAATCACTCTAAGAAAGCCTTATTATTGAATTAAAATATGCTTTGGTCTCACAGAGCTGCTTTGTTTCTTTATAAACCACAACATTGGACATCAGTGCATTTTAAAGCATTTCCTTAAAACCAACAGTCATTATAAACTGGAATCAGATTCAGGTTTATTTTGGTATGTTTATGAGCTAAACCTGAGAACATTATATCAGTCAGCCAAGTTAATTAAATATGAAGACAGCTGGAATTTAAAGGACACACATACCACTGGCTTCAGCTATGCACCATCACTGAGAACAGAAACCACATTAGATTCATAGTTTCACTACGTGCTCTCATAGCTAGATTTATAAATGTCCCCAAACCAGAAGCTTGCTTTTATTAACAGTGGTTCTGAAAAACAGGATATGAACTTTGCATCACCCCTCCTCAGAAGGCTGGGATTGTAAGAGTAGGGACTGGGTCCTGTACCTCTAGCTTCCTAGTGCACACACTGGCTGGCTGACTGGCTATCGCTGGCCTCTGCTGCTCAAAGCTACATTTTCCCTTACTTCCCTCACTTGATCAACTCCTACTCATGGGATACCTCTTTTAAGAAGTTGTCCCTGTATCTCCATCTTGCAAGAAGCTAAGGCAGCCTGCTCTGAGCAAATCCCCATTTAGCATCCTCACATTCAGGGATTAATGGTGCTATTTTACTTCCCTAAACTTGAGTCCAATTGTATTAATACTTGTCATCCTTTAAAAACACACTCAAAACAGGTAAACTAAGCAAACTGAAGAGATCACGCATGATTGTGACACTCTCCCCACTCAGTTTAAAACAGCTTAGTCTCTAAACCAGCGGTTCTCAACCTGTGGGTCGCTACCCCTTTGGCGGTCGAACGACCCTTTCACAGGGGTCGCCTAAGACCATCCTGCATATCAGATATTTACATTACGATTCATAACAGTAGCAACATTACAGTTATGAAGTAGCAACGAAAATAATTTTATGGTTGGGTCACAACATGAGGAACTGTATTTAAAGGGCCAGAAGATTGAGAACCACTGCTAAACTAAGAGGGCAGGGGTATCTTGCAACACTGAATTCAGACATGATTACATCTATTAGCACTGGTGCTTACAGAAGCTTCTTTCAGGCAGATAACCCAGAAACAGGGACAACAGCCATGTAAATCTGAGACACAACACACATTCATTTCCTGTATGCTAGGAACAAAATACTCAAGTCTTGGTACTCAAAGTAGCCTAACCTTGGAGGAAAGATTCTGTCCTGCAGAAATGTCCGCCCCCCCCACCCCCCCCAACACACACACACTTGGTCCTTTCCCTCTCTCATGCCCTAGTCACAACCTGGATACACCAGATTTGGAAGGATGGGGAAATGAAAAAATAATCCTACTGAGAAAACTTCACCAAAGCCCTTAAAGGAGGGGGCTAGATTAAATGAGCCAGCTGTGATGTTTTAAAACTCTTTTTCTAAGCCTGGCTGATTAAAACGATTAAAGCTACCTGTGGAACCAAGACTGATTCCTAGGCTCCACTAGAAAACTTCAGAACGAGAGTCTCTAGATGTGGAGCATGGAAATTTGGACTTTAAGAGTGCTTCTCAGGAGATTCTGATAAGAGATTTGTGAACCACCAGAGAGGGAACTGGATGGAGTGGTAACTCCTACCGTGACAATGGGTTCCCTAAATGCTGACACTGCTACTGGGAGTAAAGTCCCTTTATACTTGTCCTTTCATGTCCCATGTATAAAGTTAGTTTTGGGGGCAGGGAGGAACTGAATTCCCCACTCATTGTCTTCCCACGTGGAGGGAGTTCAGCTAGTATTTCTCAAAGTGGAAGGGCCACTGCTGTATTTTGGGCTGGATAAATGATTATGTGGCACTGTCCAGCACAGTGTAGGACATTTACCATCCCTGACCCTGACTCTTAAATGCCAATTGTTCCTAGTCATTGGGACAGCCCAAAACACATTTCTTCACTTTCCTAATTACTCCTAGGATGTCAGTTCAGACTCTGATTAAGAGCCATTGAGCTGGATTAACATTCCTGACCTATCTTTCTACCCCTTACATTAAGTTCCGATTTTGGAGGGGAAAAAGGTCTATCCAATAAGTGAATTTAGGAGGAGCCAGCCGTTCCCTCTCTCCTCATTTGCACCTGCCTGGCCAGAGGTCACATTCTAGCCTGAGGTTTTCCAGTTGGCTGTCTCCTCATGTCGCAGATTTGAACTTAGGTGTGGTCTGCACTCTAGAGGGGGAGTAGGGGGCTTGTTCCTTTACCTAAACACCTACAACAATAAATAAATCTTAGAGAGAAAATAATTTAGTTCTTTTAGGGAATATAAACATGACCATAATTCTGACATTTTAAAGATGCCTTTATCTTTCTATTGTAAGAAAACATTACTGTTTAAAGAGAAAGAACTTTGACGAACGTTTTTTATTGAAGAGTTTTATTCTGTCTTAGAATAAAATCCTTGCTTTAATATTGTAAGGTGCACTGCAGGTATGCCATGCTGCCAGTTATTGGGGCACCAAATGCCCTAGTCAGTGACCCAGAGGGCTTGGAAAATGCATGAATTCATATTTTTAGAGCATGTAGAACTGGTATTTACAGTTTTTCTTCTCGAAATAGGCCCAGGACATCTCAAACAGTCTATAAGTATTGCCATAGCACTTGCTTTGATGTTCAGAATGCCTCAGAAATGTGTTCAATATCATGATTTATGGGTCCTCCAAAAGGTTTTGTTGTTAACATGCAAACAAACAGTATTAAACAATATTATCTAAATTATGGCTGTCAAGTACTGAAACTTAATAATGAAACCAAATTACAAAACATCTTCTTGTAGACCTATACAAAAGATATAAAATTAAAAATATCAACCATCTTTAAATATTCTAATTCTACTGTGCAGTTTTCCACATCTTTATCACTACTGAATAGCTTAAGGAGAAAGTTAACAAAATCAAGAGAGATAAGAATATTTAAATCTTTGGATCCCTTTATTCCATGGCCTTCATAAAACACAAAGGTGGCCAGATTTCCCCCCCAGTATAGCTTAAAATATCAAAAAGATTTACTAGTAATTTATAGTTAGCAATGAACTCTATATTGAGTCATTTGTGAATCACAGGCCCAAGGACCAGTGTTATGATATCTGATAAGTTGCCAAAATAATTTCTAACACTCTGAATCCTCTTGAAATATAATGGAATGAGTCAACTTATCACGACAAAATTCCAGGCATTATCAGGAAGAACAGGTTAATTGATGCCTAGTTTTACTGTCTTAAAAAAAGGGGAGGACTTACTTATTTGAAAATACAGCTAAGTACATGGTTATCTATGATTATTTACATTCATATACTGAAAATACCTATTATTTGGACAAATCCTGTGATATGCCATTTACTATAAAATGAAATTCTTACAATGAGCATGAGTAATTTATCCTTAATAAAAGAATGTATCAAATCTTCATTTGTGTTCTAAACATTAAAACAGAAAATCAAAATCAAAAATCTTAACCCTGGAAAGCTATGGAAAAAAAAAAAAAAGACCCACCCATAGCTCTGTTCCTCAGCACAACTTCTGCAAGGACACAGTATGTTTGCTGACTTTAAAATGTTTATTCTTTAAAAAATTAGTTGCTTTTTATACAGCTATACAAAGTTCTTAATGTTTCTTTGGCAATGGAATATAATGGAATTTTATAACTATATAAAAAAGTTACCTTTGCCTAAGAAACAGTATTTACTGTGTGTACATAGTTGACTGACAAAATTCTCTACCATCCAGCACCCCAATTAACTGATGAAATAAGCTACCTCAAAAGGGATATTACAGGATTTCCAAAAAGAAAGGGAAAAAGATACACAGACACAGACACACACACACGCACAAACACACCCTTCTGTGGCTTGAAACACAGTATCACGGCCCTAACTGCAGGTAACTTGCAATAATTGCCAAATACAATTTAGTGATAAGAAAAATCCTTTCAGTGATGAAAAAATACTTGTAAGTCCCATTGAAGTACTGCTTTAGTTTACACATAAGAAATTACTTAACCTTCTGCTATTTCAAATATATTTAATGCTCATTTTTAAAGATGAGCTGCCCCCTCCCCCCCAATATAATTGCATCATATCTTTGAAATTAAGCAGAAAAATAAACAAACCAACAAACAAAAAAACCCAGTGCTGGTGACAAATATACAGCAAATTCACTTCTTCATTCTTGGTAAAGGCTGAAACCAATTCTCAGGACCTTGAAGAGCTAGAAATTCACCTATTTCCAAAGACTTGTTTGTAGACTATGCAGCAACTTTGTTGTCTTTCTAAAAAAAGGAAAAAAAAAATTAGCTGTTTCAAATTATTGGTTAATTAATAATCATTTCTTTCTAATATGCTTAAATATACTTTCCATTATCTTTAAATATATCCTCCCTTTACTCTCACATATAAATCTGTACCACTGATTTCCAGAAAATACTTTTTACTTCCATACCCCAGCAGGAGCTCATTATTTGTTAACTACATTTTCTAGTCAGTAGTAGAGTTTATTTATTTTAAAAAATGTTGTTTTTATTGATTTTAGAGAGAGATGAAAGAAGAGGGAGACACAAGATAGAAACATTGATTGTCTGCCTCCTGAACTACCGCTACTGGAGACTGATCCCACAACCTGGGCATGTGCCCTGACTGGGAATTGAACCGGTGACCTCTTTTTAAAAAAAAAAATATTTTATTGATTTTTTACAGAGAGGAAGGGAGAGGGAGAGGGATAGAGAGCTAGAAACATCAATGAGAGAGAAACATCGATCAGCTGCCTCCTGCACACTCCCTACTGGGTTATGTGCCCGCAACCAAGGTACATGCCCTTGACCAGAATCGAACCTGGGACCCTTGAGTCCGCAGGCCGACGCTCTATCCACTGAGCCAAACCGGTCAGGGCGTGAACTGGTAACCTCTTGGTGCTGAGCTACACCAGCCAGGCTCTAGTTAAAGTAGTGGTGTTATAGGCTAGTCCCAGCAAGAAGCCACCCCCCCAAGATATAGGTATACCCCGCTATCTTTGATTGCCATCCTAATAACCTTTAAAAATAATGATAGAACTTAAACCTTCAATATACTACTACTAGTCAATTCATCAAGTACAACCAACAACGTACTTTGGAAAAAGATTAATAAAATCTCTAAGTCTTTGATGTCTTTACTAAGTAATAGCATATCCAGACAGTAAAATAACATTTCTTTCCAAAGGGTCATTCCCTTAGGAGAAAGCAAATGATTTAGAAATTCATTTTAAAAGATAACTTTTAAATTTGAAATAAGTTTCTGAAAATCTGAGAATTGACTGGGAAGTTTAAAAAAGCAACTAGGGAAAAAGCAGTAAAAATCTCAAGGGGCCTCTAACTTCCCAGTGAGACTAATCTTAAACTAAAGTCTTGTACACACACAGTATCAGAGCCAGGGGCTTCCATTTTCCTCAGAACTAGTTGCTACTATGTATCTGGCTTATACTGCTGATTGTCATCCTGTTAGAAATATATATTTCCTATGTTAAAGACTAACTTTATCTGTGCATACAACACCAAAGCATTTGTACAATGTTGTTAAAGTAGAACACATATGGCATGGTATAAGTTGGTGCAGAAAGAATTACGAGGAAGATGATCCTGCCACCCCCACCATAGCCAACCTTTACATGTTCCGATTTTTAAAAAATCTTTCAGAAAGCTATCTGATTAATCCAGACCTGTAAGAGCCCAAAAGCTGTGGTTTTCTGAAAGGAAAAATAAGCACGAACGAGGAGAGATGGAAAGACAGAGATGGAAAGAGGGACAGAGAGGAAAAAGTGTGAAAGGGAGAGAGAGAACCATACTGAGTCATTTGGAATACCCCATTGTCTCTGGATGCTCCCTGAAGAAACACATACTCAAATGGGAGGCCATCTGTCTCATCCATCCTGGTGGCTTAACGTCTTAGCAGCAGCAAATAAACCAGGAGCTGGCTGTCCTCTTATTATTCCTGGCCTGACCCCCTCCCCCAGCCCCCCCCCCCCCCAAAAAAAGAGGGGAAGAAAGCGCCATAGGACCAAACTCAACACAAGTTTATGTTTCTAACATTATCCTTAAGGAAAATTGGGCTAGAAGTCAAAGAGAGGGAGTTTTGGCTTTATATATTAGTTTGTACCTAGATCTAGAGAGTTAACCTCTCTGGCTCTTTGGTTTCCTAACCCTATGTATTGGGGTGGGTTTGGAGAAAGGTTCTAGTCCAGGGGTGGGCAAACTTTTTGACTCGAGGGCCACAATGGGCTCTTAAACTGGACCGGAGGGCCGGAACAAAAGCATGGATGGAGTGTTTGTGTGAACTAATATAAACTCAAAGTAAACATCATTACATAAAAGGGTACGGTCTTTTTTTTTTTTAGTTTTATTCATTTCAAACGGGCCGGATCCGGCCTGCGGGCCGTAGTTTGCCCACGGCTGTTCTAGTCTCTCACATGAGGGTATTTTTTTTATTGATTTTTCAGAGAATGAAAGGGAGGGAGGGAGGAAGGGAGGAAAGGAAAATGGGAAGAGGGAGACAGATACATCGACTGGTTGCCTCCCACACACACCGTGACCAGGGCTGGGGATGGAGCCTGCAATCCAGGTATGTGCTCTTGACCGAAATTTGAACCTGTGACCCCTCAGTAACCACTGAGCCCCACTGGCCAGGGCAGTATATTGCTATTTTTAAAGAGTCCTAAAAATTGGTAATTCTATCAAACACGTTTTCATTAAGCTATCAGATTTGCTTATGCTCAGCCTAAAAATGTAATGATTCATGCCAACAGAGCACAATGATCAAAACCAACCATGACATGAAAGCTACTACAAATACTATTGACATCCACTTTGAAAAACGAGTTTAATCCCTGTAGGTAAATCTCCCACTAGTATATGTAATAGTGATCACTCACTATTTCTACCTTTGAAGGAGCCAAATATGATTTGAAGGCACAGGCTGCTGAGAAGGCCTCTGATGGCAGGCAGAGGGTCATTCAACTTTGTAATGAACAATCAAGGGCTAGCCACACTGATGGGCCTTTGTTGAAGGCTAAAGTAAGTACTCCTAATGAACATATGCTAGACACTTACTTCAAGCCCATTATGGCTCCATGCTGAGCAAGTGTTTTGGTGGAATACATATTCACTAATGCCAAGAGGGTCCCACATAGCTGGTGATACAAAACAAAATGCATGAAATAGGGAACATGAATGTATTTAACATGTACACTAGCGAAAGCAGATACTACAGGAGGTGAGAAAAGGAAGAAATCAGTGGAGGAAGGAAGAAGTTTATAAGAATAGAGGAAACCTTGGGTAAGACTGTGAAGTATAAGTGAAAGGGATCCCTTGACTTTTAGCTGTGTCTAACTTCCCACTGGACTATAAACACCAAGGAGGCAGGACTGAGTCTGTTCTGTTTACCACCAATGTCCAGCACAGTGCTTGGCATATACAAAGAATTCCATATATATTTGGTCAATGAATGAATGAGGTCAGAGTCTGAATCAAAAAACAGTGTGACTATGAGTGAACTTGCTTAAACCAGATAAGTTAAAGGGTAATAAGAAATGGGGCTGGGTATGTCAAGTGGGACCCTCAGTAAGAGGAGGCAGTGCAATGTCACATTAGAACTTTTTTAACCACCAAGGCAATGCCTCAGGGTCCAGTGAATCTGTCACTTCTTGAAATACTCAAGCAGATTTTGTCAGAAACACACTAGTGCAGATAAAGACTCATGTAGACAACTTCTACAATGCATTCTAATACTGCAATATACAGGGTGGGGCAAAAGTAGGCTTACAGTTGTTCATATGGAAAATAATACAATTAATAATAATACAAGAATAAAGGCTATGTTTTGCATATGTACTCACAACTGTAAACCTACTTCTGCTCCACCCTGTCTATGAAAGGGTTTTAACTAAAGGATCAAAATGACTGAATAGTGAGACAGTTTCAAGAAAATATTTGCATTAATAAGTGCATATATCATGCACACAGTGATTATTCAGTTTAGATAAAGTAAAATAACAGTCCAGTCTTTACACAGACAACAAGACAGCTATGTTTTCAAATATCTAAAAAATAATGTAGAGTAAATATACTCTGTGTATTTACAAAGGACAGAGTTAAACTAATCATTTGAAGATATAGGAAAAAGATTTTCACTCAAATTGTATGTATACTAGTATCTGTAAAATCCAAATAACTAGATATCCCTGGAGTGGGATAATGGTCTCAGGAAAAGTAAGGTCCCAGCTACCGAAGAGGTTTGGCTAGGAGGTCAGACCTCTCAGACGCTTTCCAACTGAGACTTTAATGATCTGTAAAGGTGTATCTGAGATAAGACGGTGCAACTCTTTCCACAAATGTCAAAACTGAGTGACTGAAAGGTTTAATGACTCAATTGAGATCATACTAGCAATAAAATTCTCACTGGGACCACAGTCTAATTTAAATGCACTTTTTCTCAAACCAAGCTGACTCAATATAGTCTTCAACAAGGAGTTGTCCTAAGTTCTTCAACAGGTAGCTGATATGCCTAAAGTGAGGTAAAGAAAGACTAAAGGTCTGAAGACCAATCAGTAGGTTATTATGGTAGTTGGCAGGGACATGTCAAAGGAATGAATGTGGTGATATGAAAATGGGCCATGATCATGAATACCTACACGCCCCTGGGGACAAAAGAATGGCAGGTTTGGCCAGTTTTCTCAGTGGTTAGAGCGTTGGCCTGAGGATTGAAGGGTCATGGGTTTAATTCCGGTCAAGGGCACATACCTTGGTTGCAGGCTCGAACCACGACCCCGGCAGGGGCACGTGCAGGAGGCAACTAATCGCTGTGTCTCTCGCATCGATGTTTCTCTCTCTGTCGCTCCCTATCCCTTCCACTCTCTCTAAAGATCAATGGGAAAAAATCCTCAGGTGAGGATTAATGAAAAAGAAAAGAAAAGAAAGAAAGAAAGAAAGGGAGAAGGGGAGGGAGGGAGGGAGGGAGGGAGGGAATGGTATATTATTAGCCAATCAAACACTAGGAAGAGGCAAAGCTGAAATAATGGGAAGGCAAGATGATGATGAGGTCATTCTGAGGAAGGTTAAGTTTAAGTTGATCATAGGCACAAAGCAGGTGAAGATAGAGCAATGCAGATGGAAGCATATGAGGTCCAAACTGAAAAACTGATTAGAAGCTTTGCTCCGACAAGCTGGAAAAGGGAAGGGGGAAAGGGAAAGTCAGAAGGAAGAGGGAAGGGGGGCAGAGTGGGAGAAAGAGCGCACTTGGACATGCTTTAGCATATGCAAGAGTGCAAACAGAAGCATGAATGCTTTCAAGTAGCAGCAAACTGAATGTTCCAGGCAGAAGGAATGGATAAAAAAGGTCCTGAGATAGGATTAAGCTTGTCCCTAAACAAGAGCAAGAAGGCCCACATATCTGTGGCAGGGTGAATGGAGAGAGGCAGAGTCCCACTGGCAAAAAGAACTAGAGGTAGTTCTAGACTTCTAACCTGGAGAAGATCATGAAGCATCTTATAGGCTGTGTTGAGAAACATGTGTTGTTTTATTTAAAAAACAACAACTTGTGTATAAAAAACAAACAAACAAGAATAAAAGACTCTGCCCAGCCAGTGTGGCTCAGAGGTTGAGAATTGACCTATGAATCACGAGGTCACAGTTCAATTCCCTGTCAGGGCACATGCCTGCGTTTCGGGCTTGGTCCCTCCGTAGGGCACGTGCAGGAGGCAGCTGATCAATGATTCTCTCTCATCATTGATGTTTCTAGCTCTCTCTCCCTCTCCCTTCCTCTCTGAAATCAATAAATGTATTTAAAAAAAAGAGAAAAAAGAAAAAAACACTTCAAGTTGGGTGTCAAGTATTGCAGAGGAATTAAGAGCAAATATTTGTGAAAAGGCTACTGAATTCTGTAAGCAAAATGTTACGGGCAAGAGCAGTAAGTTTCTAAGATATAGTTTTCTAGCTGGAATGGCAATTTTGCGTCAGATGTGCTGCAGCTCCATTAGGCCACCATGGCTGAATAGCCAGAGCTAATGATGAGGCTAATTTTCAGCAGTCTTGGCTGTGATGAGACAATATCAAAGGCATCAAAATTAACAGACCAGCCCTGGCTGGCTAGCTCAGTTAGTTAGAGCGTTGTCCCCATATGCCAAGGTTGTGGGTTCAATCTACGGTCAGGGTTCATACAAGAATCAACCAATGCATGCATAAATAAGAGGTACAACAAACTGATGTCTCTCTCTCAAATCAATCAACACAAAATAAATAAAAAATTAACAGATCAGATCCCAAAGCCACTAACACAGAACCTTCAGAAGGATCTCAACAACGGTCAGTTACAATGGGATTTTGATCCTTTCTGTATATATACCTTCCTCTTCGCTATCCCTAAAAATCAATAAACTAGGATAGTGACAGACTCCTTTAAATAAAAGTACATATAAACATACTATAGAGAACTATACAATTTTCTAAGAGCAGTTCCCAAATGTCAATATCATGAGATTTTCAAGACCATGGCAAAATAAGAAAACCAAGGAATATGTGGTTGTGTTTTTCACAAAACTAAATTAAGAGCACTGACTCAGGAACAAATTTACTAGGTTCAAGACCCAGCATCATCACTTACTAGCTGACTTCAGACAAGTTATTTAATATCTTTATACCTATTTCCTCATTTGTAAAATGGGGATTAAAAAGAGAATCTACACCACAGAGTTGCTGTGAGGTTTAAGTGAGTTTGATATATACATGCAAAATACTATATAAATGTTAGCTGCTATTAAACATATAGGTTTGTCTTCCATTGTGAAGTATGTCCTTCCTAGACTCTTTTAGTGTTAAAGCATACTTTGTTATCTCAAATAAAGATGGTATGCTATAAAACTTTTGTGGATAATGCCTTAAGTGATCTTCTGTGCTTCCAACAAAATATAATCTTAAAAGAAGAAATAAAAAAAAAAGAAGAAATAATCCTAAGTCAGTCTCTAATAGCTTTTTTTGGGAAATTTTACCAATCTGTAAAATCTAAAACTATAGTTCTATAATAAAAAGACAAAAAAGACTTATTAGCCAAGTTACTACTCATTAAAATTATATAAATATCCTAATCAGGTAAAAAATGAAAGTTATACAAATGTCCTAAAAATATTCACCCAAAATAGGATAAAAGTAAAAACATTTTGAGTTTCATTAAAATGCATGCTGTTTGGCATGCAGTTTTATGGAAAACATATAATACTTACCCTATATTCAAAATCTGCAAATTCCCTGCCCCCACGACCTCCTCTGAATCCACCACGAAATCCTCGAGGGGTAGTGAAGGTACCACCTCTACCACCACCACGCCCTCGGCCACCACGGAAACCAAGACCTCCTCTGCCTCTGTACCCTCCACGGCCACGGTTTGGTCGAAGTGGGATTCCAAATGTTTCAGCATTTAATCTTCTTTCTTCAGCCCAGGTTGGTCTCCGTTCTCTATTTTAAGCACAAATAATCTTTAGTGTATATCAGGTTTTAAAGAACATTTTTCAAGCAAAACTATGTAACACTAATTCCCAAATTAAGGCGAAGCAATTCCTAAAGATCAAGTAAGAATAAGCATCTTATTATATAAGCCATCACAAACTGTTCTTGTTCCTTTAATATTCTGTTAAATTTCATGTGAAAATATAACTGGTATTAGATTCTTGCAAATACAGTTAATAAAATAAACATGGTAACAGCATCAATATAATGGGATTTCAGATATAATGGGATTGGCAATTAACTCCACCCCCCCTCAGCCCCAGTGGAAGAGAAAGTAAAGCCAGAAAAGGAAACCCTGTCTCAGGAAAGTGGGAGCAGGAGGGTAGGTTCCTGAGTTCCCAGTATGATCCCGGCCCAATCCCTGGAACTGATGCCTGAGGCAAGTGTCTGAATTGCTGCTGTTGCTGCTTCTATTCTAGAGCCCAAACACGGCTCAGAATCATCCCCATTCCTGTTTAAACAATGGCCACCAGGTGGCACTAAACCACAGCCTGGAGGACAATTTGGATTGATCAGCAGAATCCTTGGAACTCTTTTAGCTTGTTATGCTAGGTCCTTTAACCTGACAATCTTCTGGATCGACATTTACTTAAATGTGGCAGAGTTTTACTGTATCAGCAAACTTCAAAGTAACATTAGTACTTTGGTCCTGCTTTATTTGAACTACACTGTAAAGGGTAAAGTAAAAGGTCTTACTTAGATGAAAGCTTCTGTTTTTGTTGTTGTTTCCTTTTTATTGATGAAAGCTTCTGTTTTAATTACTAATTTGAATTTTCGTGCACTTACTTTCTTTTAGGAAAATAAAACATCAAAAATTTGCTGTCATTAGATATTTTTGTTTTATTTTTTGATTTTTTGATACTCCTCCCCTGAGGATATTTTTTTTCCATAGCTTTTCAGAGAGAGTGGAAAGGAGAGAGAAGTAGGGAAAGAGAAGAGAGCGGGGGACACACGACTGGCTGCCTCCTGCACAGCAAACCTCAACCCAGGTAGGAGCCCTTGACCTTGACAGGGAATCAAACCATGGACCCTTCAGTGTGTGGGCCAATGCTCTAACCATGGAACACACCAGCCAGGGCAGATATTTTTAAGTATTCATTAAACTTTGTGAAATTATAAGAAATCATAAAAAAAAAAAAAATAAGTTCACAGATCAACCTCCTAAAAGCTTAAGAACAGCTTAAAAGACAGTACCTATTATCATCACAAGAAATATTATCAAAGAAGGATTTAGTTTTGTCATAATAGCAATTAGGTCCAAGTGGATCTTCTTCATCTGCATTTCCTTCACTGTTTAGAGTATCAACTCCTGAGTCTCCTTTATCTTCACCATTTATAGGCTTCTCCTGTTTCTCAAGTTTATCTTCCACTGAAAAACAAGCATATACCATAAAAGTCAACACTTGTACTAAACATCGATTCACAAGTCAAATAAGAGTATTTTCTGAGTAGAAAAATAAAAATTCACCTTTCAATTTAAGTTTATTATGAAACTCTCTGTCAATTTCCTCCTTGTTAAATTGTGCATTTGCACTTTCAAAGTCAAAGTCTTTCTCAAATTTCATAGGACCATCTCGTCGAATACCAAATCTTCCCCTGCCACCTCGATGACACCCACGCCCTCTCCTTGGAGCTGAAGGAGCACCTGGAACTATGTTAATAAAGAAAAAAAATAAGCTGGTTTAAGACAGATGTCATCATTATGGTTTTTATATTGAATGGTCAACAACAGAAATGCTTATAAGTCTCTATACATTATTATATTTATATTTTTATATAAAAAAGAAATGAAGTTTCACTAACATTTAATATATAGCACACATGAAATTTATAAAAAGCACACATGAAATTATATTTATGAGGTCCACACTCATATATATAGGTGAGAGAGTGCACAACCAAACAATTTGGGAGATGTTGATACTAAATTACTGTATACTCCCTGAGGGCAGGGACTATGTTTTGCTTATTTATATTCCTTACTAGAGGCCTGGTGCACGAAAATCATGCATTGGGGGAAGGGATGGGTCTCTCAGCCCGACCTGAGTCCTCTCGCAGTCTGGGAGTCCTCGGGGGATGTCCGACTGATGGCTTAGGACAGTGGTTGGCAAACTGCGGCTTGCGAGCCACATGCGGCTCTTTGGCCCCTTGAGTGTGGCTCTTCCACAAAATACTGACTTCTGTGCATGGGCCACGAAGTTTCAATTGCACTGTATGTGCGTGCCCGCACGTGGTATTTTGTGGAAAAGCCACACTCAAGGGGCCAAAGAGCCACATGTGGCTCGCGAGCCGCAGTTTGCCGACCACAGACTTAGGACATCCTTAGCGTTGCCACAGAGGCGGGAGAGGCCACTGCCGCTGCGCTCGCCAGCTGTGAGCCTGGCTTCTGGCTGAGCAGTGCTCCTCCTGTGGGAGCACACTGACCACCAGGGGGCAGCTCCTGTGCTGAGCACCTGCGCTCTGGTGTTCAGTGCGCATCATAGCAACTGGACGTTCCGCTGTCAGGCTGAAACCGGCTCTCCAACATCCCCCGAGGGGTCCCGGATTGCGAGAGGGTGCAGGCCAGGCAGAGGGACCCCACTGGTGCACGATCGGGCCAGGGAGGGATGCAGGAGGGCTCCAGGGAGTGTCTGGCCCATCTCGCTCAGTCCCAATCGGCCGGACCCCAGCAGCAAGCTAACCTACTTGTCGACTATCTGCCCTCTGGTGATCAGTGCATGTCATAGCGAGTGGTTGAGTGGTCTTAGCATATCATTAGCATATTACGCTTTGATTGGTTGAACAGATGACTGGACGACCAGACACTTAACATATTAGGCTTTTATTATATAGGACTAGAGGCCCAGTGCACAAAAATTTGTGCACTCGGGGGGGAGGGTAGGGGGGGCCCTCAGCCCGGCCTGTGCCCTCTCGCAGTCTGGGACCCCTCGGGAGATAACGACCTGCTGGCTTAGGCCTGCTCCCGGGTGGCAGAGGGCAGGCTCAATCCCTAGGTGCAGCCCCTGGTCGGGCTCAGAGCAGGGCTGATTGGGGAGTTGGGGTGCTGCCCCCTGTCATGCACAGAGCAGGGCGGATTGGGAGGTTGCGATGCCACCCTCAGTCACGCTCAGGGTATGGCTGATTGGGGGGTTGGGGCACCACCCCCTGTCACACTCAAGGCAGGGTCGATGGGGAGGTTGCGGCGCCACCCCCTGTCACGCACAGAGCAGGGCCAATCGGAGGGTTGGGGCTCCGTACCCTGTCATGCACAGAGCAGGGCCAATCAGGGGGTTGGGCGCTGCCCCCTGTCATGCACAGAGCAGGGCCCATCAGGGGGTTGGGGAGCTCCCCCCTGTCACACACAGAGCAGGGCCGATAGGGGAGTTAGGGCACCGCCCTCTATCACCCACAGAGCAGGGCCGATCAGGGGGTTGCGAGGCCACCCTCAGTTACGCTCAGGGTATGGCTGATTGGGGGGTTGGGGCACCGCCCCCTATCACACTCAAGGTAGGGTCGATGGGGAGGTTGCGGCCCCGCCCCCTGTCACGAACAGAGCAGGGCCAATCAGGGGATTTGGGCGCTGCCCCCTGTCACGCTGATCCGGTGCCAGGAGGCCTCGCGGCTCTGCTGATCCCGGTGCTGGGAGGCATATTACCCTTTTACTATATAGGATAGAGGCCTGGGGGCCGGCTGGTTTGCCCTGAAGGGTGTCCAGGATCAGGGTGGGGGTCCCCACTGGGGTGCCTGGCCAGCCTGGATGAGGGGATGATGGCTGTTTGCAGCTGGTCACACACCCTTCAGGGTGGGGGTCCCCAATGGGGTGCCTGGCCAGCCTGGATGAGGGGATGATGGCTGTTTGCAGCTGGTCACACACCCTTCAGGGTGGGGGTCCCCACTGGGGTGCCTGGCCAGTCTGGGTGAGGGGCTGAGGGCTGCTTTCATGCTGTCGGTTGTTGATTGAAGCTCCCAACTGCTCCTTTTTTTTATTTTATTCTGGGCCAGCTTTAGCTCTGGCTCTAGCTCTGAGAGCAGGTATCTGGTTTGTTTCGGTTCTATAATCGAAACAATGTATAACTTCAGCTCTGAGATCCCGGCCTATATTTGTTAGAATGTTTCAAACTGCCAGCTCAGAGGCCGTTGGAGTCTGCAGTCCCTGGAGCAAGCAAGCCTCATGTTCGCTTCCAGCTGCCTGGCTGCCGGCCGCCATCTTGGCTGACAGTTAATTTGCATAAGGATATGCTGATTAGCCAATGGGAAGGGTAGCGGTCGTACGCCAATTACCATGTTTCTCTTTTATTAGTGTAGATACCTACAGAGTACCAAATACATTGTGGGTTCTCAAAATTTAGGAAGCCGCCCTAGCCAGTTTGGCTCAGTGGATAGAGCGTAAACCTGTGAACTGAAAGGTCCCAGGTTCGATTCTGGTCAAGGGTACGTACCCCAGTTGTGGGCTCGACCCCCAGTGGGGGGCTTGCAGGAGGCAGCCGATCAATGAGTCTCTCTCATCATTGATGTTTCTATCTCTCCCTCTTCCTTCCTCTCTGAAATCAATAAAAATACATTAAAAAAAAAATTCAGGAAGCCTTTTATGGAAAGGATCAGAGGGACCAAGATTTAGAGTAAGAAAAATAAATGAACACGAATCAGAACAAACTGCAAGGTGGAGATGTTATTGCCACATCATAAATAACACAAAAGACAAGAAGCACCAGGTGTCAACCATTCTAAACACTTCCTACTCCATCTTTATTGTTTTTCCTCTAAGTGGCTCCATATTATTCAAGTCTTCCTATACCTAGTCTTTCTCTATAATATAATAACAGAATTTATCCTATATAGTAAAAGCCTAATATGCTAAGTGTCTGGTCATCCAGTCAGCTGTTCAACCAAAGTGTAATATGCTAATGATAGGCTAAGGCCGCTCAACCGCTTGCTATGATGTGCACTGACCACCAAGGGGCAGACAGTTGACCAGTTGCTATGACATGCACTGACCACCAGGGGGCAGACGCTCTGACCAGTAGATTAGCTTGCTGCTGGGGTCCTGCTGATCAGGACTGAGTGAGACAGGCCAGACACGCCCTGCAGCCCTCCTGTGGTTTCTCTCCAGCTGACCAACCTCCCACGTCCCTTCCCGGCCCCAATCGTGCACTGATGGGGTCCCTCGGCCTGGTCTGCGCCCTCTCGCAATCTGGGACCACTCGGAGGATGTTGGAGAGCTGGTTTTGACCTGATCCTGCAGGCCAGGCTGAGGGACCCCACTGGTGCATGAATTCGTGCACCGGGCCTCAAGGTAGGTATAATAAAACAATACCAAAGCATTATAAATTATAATGAAAACTTGAGAACCCAAATATCCAACACAAGAGAAACTGTTAAGAAAAAAAATGGAATATGGAATATGGAATAGTACTTGATATGAGTTAATAGAAACATAAAGAGCACAAAGCAGTATGTATTCAATGATTAGAATTACGTGTAATCTTTATTTATTTATTTTTTTAAATATATTTTATTGATTTTTTACATAGAGGAAGGACGAGGGATAGAGAGTTAGAAACATCGATGAGAGAGAAACATTGATCAGCTGCCTCCTGCACACCCCCAACTGGGGATGTGCCCGCAACCAAGGTACATGCCCTTGACTGGAATCGAACCTGGGACCCTTCAGTCTGCAGGCCGATGCTCTATCTACTGAGCCAAACCGGTTAGGGCTATGTGTAATCTTTAATACATACTGACAAAGATTGGAAGTGACTACAGAGTAACAGACATGTTTGTGTTCACTGAAATTTGGCAAACTGCCCGTTTGAGCAAACAAAACACAAACCCCCCCAGCAACGTATGCAGACACTTAAAAAAAAGTTGTTCTGGCTGGGTGGCTCAGTTGGTTGGAGCGTCATTCCCCTACACCAAAAGGTTGTTTGATCCCAGGTCGGGCATGTAAGGGAGGCAGCAGATTGATGTTTCTCTCTCACACTGATGTCTGTCTGTCTGTCTGTCTCTCTCAAATCAATAAACATAACCTTGGGTGATTTTAAGTATAAAATTTTAATGAGCCTTGGGTGATGAATTTTGAAGAGTGAAAGATACTTTTATTTATTATTTTATATAATTTTTAAATGATGGAGTATAGTAATTATTTTGAGAGAGGGGTTCTCTCCTTTTCCAAATTAAAAAAGTGGAATATAGCCAGGAGGCCTCACGGCTCCGCTGATCCCGGTGCTGGGAGGCATATTACCCTTTTACTATATAGGATAGAGGCCTGGTGCACGGGTGGGGGCCGGCTGGTTTGCCCTGAAGGGTGTCCTGGATCAGGGTGGGGGTCCCGCTTGGGTGCCTAGCCAGCCTGGGTGAGGGGCTGATGGCTGTTTGCAGCTGGTCACACCCCCTTCAGGGTGGGGGTCCCGCTTGGGTGCCTGGCCAGTCTGGGTGAGGGGCTGAGGGCCGTTTTCAGGCTGGCGGGTGACTGAAGCTCCCAACCGCTCCTTTTTTCCTTTTTTTTAAATTTTGGGCCAGCTTTAGCTCTGAGGCTCGGCTCCAGCTATGAGACCTCCGCTGCTGAAAGCAGGTTTCTGGCCTTTGTTTACCTTCTGTATTTAAAACAATGTTGCGATCCTGCTGGCTGAAGCCTGGCTGACTAAAGCAGGTTTCTGGGGTTTGGTTTAGCTCAGTGATTCCCAAAGTGGGCGCTACTGGCCCCTGGTGGGCGCTGCAGCGATCCAGGGGGGCAGTGATGGCCACAGGTGCATTTGTTTTAACTTTTTTTGTATTACCTTTCTATTCTGAGTTCAATAAATAGTTTCATAATTTCAAACTTCAATGTTTCTAATTTATACCTTTCTTTACTATATTTTACGAAAAAGGTAGAAACATTAATACATATATCTTTCTGTTTAATTGCTATTAAAATTAAAAAAAAATTAATTTCCAGGGGGCGCTGAGTAATATTTTTTCTGGAAAGGGGGCGGTAGGCTAAATAAGTTTGGGAACCATTGGTTTAGCTTCTGTATTTGTTACAATGTTTCTTAGAGAGCAGCTGAGAGGCCGGCAAGGCAGGCGGGGAACCTGGCTTCCTCCGTCACTGGAGCAAGCAAGCCTCCCTGTTCGCGTCAGCTGCCTGGCTGCCGGCCGCCATCTTGGTTGGCAGTTAATTTGCATATCTCACTGATTAGCCAATGGGAAGGGTAGCGGATGTATGGCTAATTACCATGTTTCTCTTTTATTAGATAGGATATTTACAAGATTCTCTCCCCCTCCCCAAAACAACAAAAACTCTGAAAAAATGGTCATACGTGCCCATCACCCAGCCTCCCCTTCAAAGCTAACATTTTAGTTACCTACTGTACATTATCAAAACCAGGAAAATTGACATTGGCACAATATAATTAACTACATTACAGATCTCATTCAGATTTCAACAGTTTTTGCATGTACTCATTTCTTGGTAGATCTGTATAACTAACACGAAAAATTATGAAAAAACTGTTCTGCCCAGCAGGCGTGGCTCAGTGGTTGAACTGAGGAGGTCATGGTTTGATTCCTGGTCAGGGCATATACCTGGGTTGCAGGCTTGATCCCCAGGGTGGGGGTGCAGGAAGGCAGCTGATCAATGATTCTCTCTCATCTCCCTCTCCCTTCCTATCTGAAATCAATAAAAACATTTAAAGAAAAACAACCTGCCCTGACCAGTTTGGCTCAGTGGATAAAGCGTCGGCCTGTGGACTGAGGGGTCCCAGGTTCGATTCCGGCCAAGGGCATGTACCTTGGTTGTGGGCACATCCCTAGTAGGGGGTGTGCAGGAGGCAACTGATTGATGTTTCTCTCTCATCGATGTTTCTAACTCTATCCCTCTCTGTAAAAAATCAATAAAAAATGTATTTAAAAAAAAAGAAAAACAACCTGTTCTGCTACCATAATGAAACTCCCATGCTACAGCTAGCTACCAACCCTTACCATTCTTTTTTTTTAAATCTTCACCAGAGAATATTTTTTATTTTTATTGATTTTTAGAAAGACAGGGAGGGCCCTAAATGGTTTGGTTCAGTGGATAGAGCGTCGGCTTGCGGACTGAAGGGTCCTGGGTTCGATTCCGGTAAAGGGCATGTACCTTGGTTGTGGGCACATCCCCATTGGCAGGTGTACAGGAGGCAGCTGATTGATGTTTCTAACTCTCTGTCCCTCTCCCTTCCTCTCTGTAAAAAATCAATGAAATATATTTAAAAAAAGAAAAAAAGAAAGACAGGGAGGGAGGGAGAGGGGGAAAGGGAGAGGGAGAGGGGGAAGGAGGGAGGGAGGGAGAGAGAGAGAGAGAGAGAGAGAGAAAGAGAGGGAGGAAAAATGTTGATCGGTTGCCTCCTATACTCACCCCTACTGGGGATCAAACCCACAACCAGGTATGGGCCCTAACTGGAAATCAAACCTGCAATCCTTTTGGTGCAAGGGATGATGCTCCAACCAACTGAGCAACCTGGCTGGGGCCACAATTCATTTTTTTTAAAGCAATTACTCACCACACATTTCAAATATCCTCTCTATTGAGAAGCATAAAATATGGCTTTTAAATTCAAGTTACTTACCTATTTGTCTCTTGCTATCATTTCTGAGTTGCTCATTTTCTGGTCTTGAAACTTTGTGTATATCAGCTATAAGACATACAGAATAACACATTAACTCAGGAGACATAATTAAAAATTTCTGTTAAGGTAGAAATGAGAAAACAAAACAAAAAACCCTCCAAATCTATACCCCCACCACCATCACTATTCTGAGCCAAATTTGAAAGAATGAACATTCTATCAAAGTTCAGTTTAAACCTTCTAGGATCATTCATATAAAGTTTATCTTTTTAATGAAAATAAGGTGAATGGAAAATGTTGATGAGTCAATTAAGGAATTAGTAAATAGCTCAAGTTCTACCTCGCCTGTGCTCTTGATTCTCTATTGCTTTTTGGCTGGTAGATGGTAAAGGCCTGGTTGATACAGGGCTCCTTCTCCCAACAGGTGCTGGAGCAGGTAAGTGGGCCGAGGCGGTCTGTACTGCTTGTTCCATGGTAGGGCTTTTTCTCAAAGGATCTAACTGAGGGCTTGAACGACCTAAAACGTAACCAAAAGATAAGAAACTACCCTATCCTTTGGGGATTTCAAAATAACCTAGATGCTAAAAAAATGTCTTATTTTATTTCTACCAATTCAAATCCTTAGCACAAATTTGAATTCTTCTACTTACTAGACCAGAGTTTAAAACTGATTATCTTTAGTGGGCTGGTCACTAGGTTAGTTAAAAACAACAACAACAAAATACTCTGGAATTTTATCTGTATTTCTACCTATTGAAATAAGGTTAAATAAGTTTTTCAAAAATTTCTGCCTGGTATAAGATTCCCCAGGAATGTTATCAAAGTTCATGCTGTTGGTCAGATGCAGGTTTATACCAATAACCATAACCACAAGATTATATTGATACTTCAGCCATTATTTCCAGAAGCTTTAATATTTTCAGTACTTTCTGAAGATATGTCTAATGATTACCTTTATATCTATAGGTAATATCTCCAATAAATTACTATTATAAATAAAGTAAAGAACTAGAAAGTTAAGTGAAGTTCTTCTATACTTTAGGGGCTTGTGTAAATTAAACATCAATACTTAAAAGGCCAGCAACAGCCCTAGCCGGTTTGGCTCAATGGATAGAGCGTCAGCCTGCGGACCAACATGTCCTGGGTTCGATTCTGGTCAAGGGCACGTACCTTGGTTGCAGGCTTCTCCCCGGTCTGGGCCCTGGCTAGGGCACTGCAGGAGGCAACCAATCAATGTGTTTGTCTCACATCAATGCTTCTCTGTCTTACCCTCTCTCTTCTACCCTCTCTAAAAGAGCAATGGAAAAATATCCTCGGGTAAGGATTAACAACAACAAAAAGGCCAGCAACAAATAAACCCTTCAGGTAATTACACAGCAGTGATAATAATTCCTTACCATTTAAAACATCTCTTGTCAATTTTTACTTAATATAGATTTTGTACTTACAAATTCCATTTTTCCTTTTGAGGTCAGAGCTTCATAGTACAGTTACAATATGAACAGAAGAATGCAACATCGGGTGCTCCCATCATATTTTTTGTCCCTATATTTGCTATAAATCTCTGTTCAAGGTGCTCTCATATCCCATGATACTGCACCAAAATGTTTTGTTAAAAAAAATTATGCTCATTTTAAAAAAATAAAAAATTCCCATATATGCTGCAAATGTCAACAATTGGTGAACTAGTGAATGCTGACAAAGCATTGGTTATTGTTCACTAGATGCTTCAGGGATCATTTATTAGTAACTAGAGCCCCAATGCACGAAATTCAAGCATGGGTAGGGTCCGTAGGCCTGGCCAGCGATCAGGGCCAATCTGTGTGGTCCCCTGCTGGCACCCGCCTTGGCTGGCCTCGGGCCTGAGGGCAGCTCCTGTGTTGAGCATCTGCCCTCTGGTGATCAGTGCGTGTCATAGTGACCGGTAGTTCTGCTGTTTGGTCGATTTGCACATTAGGCTTTTATTATATAGGATACTCCCCAAGATTATGGTTATCTAAAGTAGGCAATTGCAAATGTGTACCATTTCCAGCCATTAATGCCAAAGTTTACTCTGCCATTAACAAAAACACTGTATATTCTGGGAAATCATAGAGGTTTATATAAGTTTTGGCCTATCAGAAGACATTTTGTCACTACTTATGATCTTCTAAAGAGATTTAATTTATAAAATAAGTGTTAAGTTTTTTGAAAATCCTATTGTTTAGTTAATGTTACAATACTACATTCTTCTAAGTTTATAAAATTTACTTTATCAGGTTTTTCTTTGAGAAAAGACCCTATGACAAGTATTAAAGAACCACAAGTGATAGGGCAATCACAACATCTCATTTGTTGTATACTTTGTAGTTAAAATCTACTAGCCATGATGGCAATTTTGTTATAAATAGAGAAATACAGGTGATACTAGACGTATTATTAGGAATACATACAATAGCCATTTCAGCATAATAAAAACACACCCCTTGAGACATCTTCACATACTGATATCAGTTAAAATTCTAGATGTTCTAATTTTGTAAAATTCAGAAATTATCGGTGGTAAAAATGCAGATTCCCAGGCCATCTCAGCCTTGTTATTGTTTTATTAATCCTTATTAGAGGATATTTTTTCCATTGCTTTTCAGAGAGAGTGGAAGGGAGGGCAAGAAGAACAGAGAGAGAGAGAGAGCGAGAGGGAGAGGGAGAAAGAGAGAGAGACTGGTTGCCTCCCACACTCACGCCAACCAGGGGATGGGGAGCAAACTAAATACCCAGGCACGTGCCCTTGACTAAGCCACACCAGCCAGGGCTGCCATTCTTTATATAAATATATCTCTTTCTTACAATAAACTAGAGGCCCAGTGCACGGATTCGTGCACTGGTGGGGTCCATCAGCCTGGCCTGTGCCCTCTCAGCGGATGTCGGACTGCTGGTTTCACCCCGATCCCTGCAGGGATGTAGTATTGTGTGAAGGGGCAGGTGGCCAGGGAGGAGCCCGAGCCCGGGCCAGATGCTGTGTCGCTCCTGCTCATCCTGTTCCCGCTGTGCCTGCCACCACTGCTTGGTAGTGCTGCCGCGGAGGCAGGAAAAGCTCATGCCGCCACAGCTGTGCTTGCCAGCTGTGAGCCCAGCATCTAGCGCCCATCAGTCAGCTGAGCAGTGCTCCCGCTGTTGGAGCACACCGACCACCAGGGGGCAGCTCCTGCACTGAGTGTCTGCCCTTTGGTCGTCAGTGCACGTCATAGCAACTGGTTGACTGGTACTACAGTCACTTAGGCTTTTATATATATAGATACGTACTTTAAAAAATTTGTATTTAAAATTTAATTTAGTCCTAAGTAAGAGAGAAGGAATCTAGTTATTTTCCCCAAATGATCAGGCAGTTGTCTGTCCCAATATCATTTATTAAACAGCTTCCCTTTTTCTAATTTAAAAATAATACCTCTATCACATACTAATTACATATTTATACTTGGATCTGTTCCTGATTTTTATTCCATTCATCTCTTAATTTATTACTGCACTGTTTTATTTTATGAATAGATTATTGAGTAGGAAAGCCCTATTTCACTGCTTTTTATTTTTTAGATATGTCTATACCTCCACGTTTATTTTTAAGATAGTATGTGTATCTGTTTTATTAAGTTCTCATACCATTCCACTTAGACTTACTGAAATTACAATAAACTTAATTAATATGACAAGTAAAGTCTTCCCAATACTTTATCTCTGTGTCTAGGAATAAAATAATTCTCTAATTGCATTATCTTATTAGATCCCCTCTATGACAGCGGTTCTCAACCTGTGGGCTGCGACCCCTTTGGGGGTCGAATGACCCTTTCACAGGGGTCGCCTAAGACCATCGGAAAACACATATATAATTACATATTGTTTTTGTGATTAATCACTATGCTTTAATTATGTTTAATTTATAACAATGAAATTGGGGGTCACCACAACATGAGGAATTGTATTAAAGGGTCATGGCATTAGGAAGGTTGAGAACCACTGCTCTATTAAATTTTGTTTTCAACATAGAAATTGGTCTTATTTCTTTTTTTTTTTTTCTTTCATTTTTTTTTTTAAATATATATTTTATTGATTTCAGAGAGGAAGGGAGCGGGAGATAGAGATAGAAACATCAATGATGAGAGAGAATCATTGATTGGCTGCCTCTTGCACACCCCGCACTGGGGACAAAGCTCGCAACCCAGGCATGTGCCCTTGACTGGAATTGAACCTGGGATCCTTCAGTCCACAGGCCAACACTCTATTCACAGAGCCAACCGGCTAGGGCGGTCTTATTTCTTATTATGTATTTTTTACATATTTTCTCATTGTGAACATCATCTTTTATCCCCATTACATAATTAGTAGGTTAGGTTTTAGAACAATGATTGATTTTTGTGCATTACTTTATATTTTCCTTCTAATTTAAGCCCTTTATTAGTTCTAGGTTATTTAGTGAATTTTTAATTCCAAGTAGTAAGTCATAGCACTGACAAATAATGCTAATTTTAATAACTATGCCTCATTTCTTTTTCACGTGTTCCAGATTTAGCTAAAAATTCCAGAACAATGGTGAATAGCAATGACGATAGGCATCCTTATTTATGATTTAATAAGAATTCTTCTGGTGCTTCCATATTAAGGTTAAAGTTGGCTATTCATTAAGATAGCTAACATTTACTGATTATGTTCTATGTGCTAGGTACTATGATACTAATGGCACTGTATATATTTAAAAAAATTAATCCTCATAAGTCTGTTAGTTACCAGTAAAGTCCCATTTTATAGTTTAGGAAACTAATGCTTAAAAAGATTAATAACTAAAATAACAAACTAATACTCATACACACAAATATACACTTAAATTAACCTACAAAAAAGTCTGGAAGCATGTACAACAAAATATAAATATTTGTTATTTCTGGGTAGAGATTGTGGGCATTTTAATTTTTTCCTTATGCTTACTATATTTCTAATTAATCTACAACAAATCTTTAGAATGTTTAAAAATTAAGTTATTTTAAATCAATGAGTAACAGTAACTACAATTATTTCAAAATATCTACAGTAAGAGAGATCATGTTTAGCATTAGCTTGATTTTATTCTCAATAGATTTTTAAAATATTGTCCTGTGATTATGGCATCTTTCTGAAACGACTTCACATTGTTTTAAAAGTAAACATCTATATAAAGCAATGAAGCCAATAACATTTACTTTGGCAACAGATAAAGATAGATATGGAAACTTGGGACCACTGAAGGCTATAAGACTGGGTGAGGGGAAAAATATAATTTAAAAAAGAAAAAGAACAGGGTAGTTTAAGAAGCTTGTTAAATGCTGACCCTAAAAGGGTTCTGATGTAGCGGTTCTCAGGATCTACATTTTTAAGTACAGTACTCTAGATGATTTGGTTGTGGGTGGTCTACACTGAGAACCATTGCTCTAGATCAGCAGTTTTCAACCTTTTTCACCCCATGGTATACATAAACTAATTACCAAAACAAACAAACACCCAGGTACTGTATAATTTTAATTCATTCATACTAAATGGCTATTGTTGTGTTGGCTGTTGTCATTTTTTTTTCCCATTTGACAATTTAAGGGAAAAGAGGCCAGTGCCCCTGATTAAATAGTCAGGTATTGTATGTTTTAAAAATTCTTGCAGCAAACCCATTGATCATTGCTCTAGATCCTGTAAGGATGCTAGGAAAGATGCAGGAGCATAATGAATAGTTTTTTTCAGCTGTTATTTTAAATTCATCAAGGAGAGTTCATTTTCAGTGGTGGCTCTAGGATTAATTTGATATATTTAAGTATAATCATACAATTTATATTACACTTGCTTTGCAAAAAATTGTCAAACTTACAGAAAGGTCACTGCTTCAGTTTTATTATCTAAGACTAGAAAAAGTCTAAATAGTGGAAGTCATTCAACAATATACTTATTGCAACAGCAATTAGGAGAAAAAATTTAAAAGAACCAAATAAAAATTATACAGGTCATTACAAACTGCAAAAGTTCTTACATTCAGAGAAAGATAAAACCAGTATAGAAGTTTAGAATGGAAATATTCGAAAGAAAAAAACAGCTTACCTTGAGATAACTGTGTTTTTACAGATCTTGTATCCTGTGTAAAGGCAGAACCAACTGCACTACTTTGGGACAGGGTACTGCTGTTTGATGTTTCTGTTCCAAAGGATGTCAAGGAGCTTCCAGCTTAAAGAGATTATTTTAATGACAAAAAAATCTTTTTTAAAAATTTAAACCTTTAAGTTATATAAAGTAATGTACCAATTTAATGATAATTTTCATCACCCTCTTGTATCACTTATACATATTAATAATGCTGGAAATTAATGAAAGTGTAACAAAAATTAGTTTGAGAAATCTTTGATAATACTATATAGCAAAAAAGCACGCCATATATATAATCCAGCATCCTAGATGCAAAAATTTTTCTAACGTGCAATACTGTCATAAGCAGTTATGTGGATGGCATAGCAGGGACCCACATGAGATAAAGAAGTAGCAGAAATGGTACATTCTACACCAACATTAAGGTTCAATTATTTTAATTCCAAGCATATGCACAAATAGCCAAATCAGCAGATAGGTCTATGATGTGCTTTCCCAGCATTTCCAAGGCAACAGACAATGGACATTAGTCCATTTTAATGCTTCTACTCAGGATGGCACTGTGGGGGGCTGCAATCTGCCTAAAGCAACCACAAGAGCTTTGGTAAAGCCAAGTAATAAATCCCTAGAAAGGACCCAATGTTTTGTTATGCTAGTTTATATCAATCTTCTTTTTTCCTTAAGTTTCTACAGTACTCATGGATCATTTTTCTTTCTAAAAAATATTTTTAGTGATTTTTTTTAGAGAGAGGGAAAGGGAGAGAGAGACATTGATGTGAGAGCAGAACATGAATCAGCTGACTCCTACACATACCCCACTGGGGATCGAGCCCCAAACCCAGGCATGTGCACCGACCAGGAACAAAATTGACAACCTTTCAGTGCACAGGATGACACCCAACCGAGCCACACCGGCCAGGGCAATCATTAAATTTTCATATGCTGTGCTCTCTTCTTACTATTTCATCTATGCAGGTTTTCTCTAGGAAGCATGTACAACAAAATATAAATATAAATATTTCTATAGCCCTTCTCCCACCCCTAAATCCAATCTAAAGATGGTAATCAGAATAATATTTTTATGAGATATAAATATAATCACATTACTACAATGTGAGCTTTCCACTGCTCTAAAGATAAAAGTTCAAACTACCTACACACCTCAGTTTATATGGCCTTCTCCTTATCTGCCTACCTTTTCTCTCACCACTTTCCTTTTCACCAGTCAACTGCACAGAAATGTATCATCAATCTACTCTTTTGTTGTTGTTGTTAATCCTCACCTGAGGATATTTTTCCTATTGACTTTTAGAGAGTGGAAGGGAGGGGGAGAGACAGAAACATACATGTGAGAAAGACACATTGGTTGCCTCCCATATGTGTCTGCAGGCTGATTCTAGTACAAACAGGTTGGCAAACTATGGCCTGTGAACCAAATTCAGGTTTGATTTCCTAGGAGGGCATATACAAAAAACAACCAATGAATGCATAAATAAGCAGAACAAATCGATGTTTCTCTCTCTCAAATTAATAATAAAAAAAGATATTCCCCTCTCCACTGTACTGCACTGGCATCTTAATTTTACTTTTTAATATTCTTACTGATTTTTAGAGAAAGAGGAAGAGAGGGGGGGAGAGAAACATCTATTGACTGCCTCCCCTCGTCCCCTACGGGGGGATCCAACCGGCAAAGCAGGCATGTCCTGACCTGTAATCAAAATAGCAACCTTTTGATGCATGGGATGATGTTCAACCAACAGAGCCACAGTGGCTCTCTTTATTTTAAATCAGGATTTAAGTGAGTCTATTTCTTTATTCCTTATGTATTTGTGGCAATAATTCACTGTTCTGATTACTGTAACTTTAAAGTAAATCTTGAAATTGAGTAACAATCTAAAGCTTTCTTCTTCAAGACTGTTTTTCTTATTCTAGGTTTTTACTTCCATATGAGTATTAGAATCAGCATGTCAATTGCTATTTTAAAAATGTCTGATGGGATTTTGATCAGGGTTATGTTCAATCTGTAAATCAATTTTGGGAGAAAAGTCATCTTAAAAATAGTGAATCTTCCAAGCCATAAGCATGGATTAACTCTCCATTGATTTAGATCTTTAATTTCTCTCAGCAATGTTTTGTGGTTTTCATTGTAGTGTTGTTGTTTTTTTAATATATATATTTTATTGATTTCAGAGAAGGAGAGGGAGAGAGATAGAAACGTCAATGACAGAGAATCATTCATCGGCTGCCTTCTACACACCTCTTACTGGGGATTGAGCTTGCAACCCGGGCATGTGTCCTTCACTGGAATCGAACCCGGGAACTTTTGAGTCCATTGGCTAACGAAAATATATATATACTAGAGGCCCAGTGCATGGATTCATGCACTGGTAGAGTCCCTTGGCTTGGCCTGCAGGAATCAGGCTGAAACCAGCTCTCCAACATCCCCCGAGGGGTCCTGGATTACAAGAAGGCACAGGCCAGGCAGAGGGACCCCACCGGGAAGGGGCTGAAGGAGGACTCCAGGGCGTGTCTAGCCCTTCTCACCCAGTCCCGATCGGCCAGATCCCAGCAGCAAGCTAACCTACCAGTCGGAGCATCTGCCCCCTGGTGGTCAGTGCACGTCATAGCAACTGGTCGAACAGTAGGACACATAGCATATTAGGCTTTTATTATACAGGATTTTTTATTGATTTGAGAGAGGAAGGGAGAGAGATATGAACATCAATGATGAGAGAGAATCATTGATTGGCTGCCTCCTGCACAGCACCTACTATGGATTGAGTCTGCAACCCCGACATGTGCCCTGACCAGAATCAAACTTAGGACCCCCTTGAGTCCACAGGCCAATGTAGAGCAGTGTTCTTAACTTCAGCACTACTGACATTTTGGGCCAGATAATTCTTTGTTGTGAGGGGTTGTCTTATGCATTGTAGGATGTTAAGTGGTATCCCTGGCTTCTACCCACCAGATACCAGTGGTAGCCTCCAGCTGTGACAACCAAAAATATGCCCACACATTACCAAATGTCTCCTGAGGATGGAAGGTAAAATTCCCCTCCATTGAAAACTACTGTTGTAGAGGTTTAAAAATATCTTTTGTTATATGCATTCCTGGCACCTGATGTTACCGATGCTATTGTAAGCTGTGCTGCATGTTACATTTAATTTCCCAATAATCTGTCCTAAATCAGGTGTCAGCAAACTTTATCTGTAAGTGGCCAGATAGTTAATATGATATTTAGGCTTTTAAGGCCATATGATCTGTTGAAACTACTCAACTCTGTCCTTGTAAAAGCAACCATAGACTACATGTAAATAAATGAGTGTTGGTGTATTCCAATAGGAGGCTGGTCGAATTTGGTTCACAGGCCATAATTTGCCAACCCGTCTGTACTAGAATAGATATACATATCATCATAGAATACAAGTAGAAATACAGTTGATTTTATTCATTCATTTATTTATTTACTTAAATCTCACCAGAGGATATTTTTTCCATTGATTTTTAGAGAGAGTGGAAGGTGAGGGGCAGGGGGTGTGTAAAGAGAGAGAGAGAGAGACATTGATGTGAGAGAGACACATGGATTGGTTGCCTTTTGTACTCACCCCAACTAGGGCTGGGGATTGAACCTGAAACCCAGGTATCCACCCTTGACTAGAAATCGAACCTGCAACATTTCAGTGTGAGGGCTGATGCTTTAACCACTGAGCTCATTGGCCAGGTCATTATTTTACCCTTTTATTAAAAAATTTGACACTATTGCAGATGTCTCCCATTTGCCCCCCTCAACCAACTACTCCTCCCCATACCTAGGCCTTCAATACCCATTGTCCATGTCCATGGGTTTACAGTTGATTGTTGTATATTTACCACTTATCTCCTTACCATACTAAATTCATGTATTCATTCTAGTGGTTTGAATATTCTTTTGCATTTTTAAAAAAAAGATATTTTTATTGATTTCAGAGAGGAAGAGGGAGAGAGAATCATGGATTGGCTGCTTCCTGCACGTCCCCTAGTGGGGATTGAGCACCAGACCCAGGCATGTGCCACTGACCTGAATCAAACCCGGGACCCTTCAGTCCGCAGGCCAATGCTTTACCCACTGAGATAACCGGCCAGGGCCCTTTGCATTTTCTATGTACACAATTATGTCACCTTCAAATACTTTTAGTTCTTCCTTTTCATTCTTTAAATCTTTTATTTTTTTCTTGTCTTACTGAATTGAGGACCTCTACATTAAATAAAATATTGAGACAATTTTGCCTTTGCTTTTTATTCTTTACCCCGAGGGAAATGCATTCATTATTTCACCATTATGTAAGCTTTTTTATTTCACTGATCAAATTTAGGATTCCCTCCCATTTCTTTCAAATATATTTCTTTATTGATTTCAGAGAGGAAGGAAGAGGGAGAGAGAGATAGAAACATCAATGATTAGAGAGAATCATTGATTGGCTGCCTCCTGCATGCCCCCGACTGGGGATCAAGCCCGTAACCCGGGCATGTGCCCTTGGCTGGAATCGAACCTGGGACCCTTCAGTCCGCAGGCCAATGCTCTATCCACTGAGCCAAACTGGCTAGGGCTCCCTCCCATTTCTTAGTTGTTGATAAATGGGTGTTGAATTTTATCAAACGCCTGTTCTATCTTTTGGAATTGCAGTTTTTCTCCTTTATTCTGGTAAGGTAGTAAATTACTAATGATTTTCAAATGTTCAAACAGCATTGCATTCCTGAGATAAACGTGACTTTGTCATTATGTACTCTCCTTTTTATGAACTGCTAGCTTCCACTGCTAATATTGTGTTAAGAACTTTTACATGTGTGTTCATGGGAGATGGTGAGCTGTAATTTTTTTTTCTTGTAATGACATCATCAGGTTGCCTCGGTTATTTGGTTAGGAAGTATTCCTCTACCTTTATTCTCTCAAAGAATTTGTGTTAAGACTGGTAAAATTATTTCTTCCTTAAGTGGTAGAATTTATCAGTAAAGCAGTCTAGAATTTTCTTTGTGAGAGATTTCTAATTACAGTTTCAATTTCTTTAACAGCTTTTTTTTTTTTAAAAGATTTTATTTCCTGT